TGCCAGTAAGTTGCCACGTGACCTATGGTCAGCAGGGATGGAGCTGTCTGAATGGGCATGGAGACGTTCCACAAGAGTCTTTCTAGATTCAGCTTTCCTGATTTCATCGACAGGGAGGTTTGAAGGCGACTTTAAAATGTGGGCACACCAGAGTGGAATAGTTAGTAAAGTGCTGAAGTGTGATAATCATGAATAAATTTATAATTTGAGGAAAATATGTTAGGACATGTTTAGTCGAAAAAATTATTGCAGCAAAACTAGCCTCGATCAATGAAGCACTGCTCGAGCGAGACTAATCTCGACGGATTAGCCTGCATAGGGACTCAGTTCAGAGAATCTATAGAGTGAACTAGAGCTTTTCATTAAGCAGAACGAAGCTAAGTGTCTTATGTGGGTTTGTAAAATGCATAAAAATCTTAGTAATCACAAATAGCAAAATAAGCTAATAGTTAACAAGGAAGTGCCGTCCTATAAATTAAGGAAAATAAGGGACGAAAAATAGGAACAACCAAGCTAAGTGTTGATGTGCGGAAATCAAATTCACGTGAAGACTCAGAATAGATGGATCTTCGAGACTATTTAATAAGTGAGGATGTGGACTGGCGGAGGAAATTTGATAAGGTCTAATTTTCTTAAATTCACTCGGTGTATACACGATTTATTGCTACTACAGGAGATGAGTTAGTCAGGGAAAGGCTTGGTGTCCGTAGGCATATGACAAAACTGCTGAACCTTCGTATATGTGGCAAATTATACCTATATCGCCACTTGGCAATGACAGCTCACAAGTGCATACTTAAGCGTGTCATAATAAAGAGAAATGTAGTATAGTTATCAAAGATATTCGTCGGCAAGAGAAAATGCCTAGATAATCTCGTGTTCGTTGCATGAAGGGATACGGAATAGGAAAACCTCATATGTGGATAAACAATCAATTAAAAAATAATTAAGTCTGACACATAAGTGGATTCATATTCTAAATTTACCGGAAAAATTCAACAACTACTAACTTCTGTGTATTCAGAATTTTCGAGGCTACCAGTAGTCCATAAACATGAGATACATTTATCCTCTTTCGTTTAAGGCGATATATATATATAATAATAATAGTGGGAGACCAAATTATTAATCAGTTTAATTAAAAGCAAAATAAAATGCATGAACCAACTTAAAATGAGGCAAAATGGAATATTAAGCACAAAGACTAACTTGTTCCTGACGAAGAGTCGAAAGCGAAGGCCTGGCGAATTGAGATGGAAGCAATTGAGTTACTTGTGGCACAGGTGGAGGAGAGTGGGATGTTTCAGATTGCCATGACAGACCATTTGGACAAAAGGTCTGAACAAAATTAGCAATAGCTGCAAGGAAAACGAGCCAACTGCGAACCCATTCAACATGCTTCGGTCGACTGAACGTTTAAAAGGTTACAAAAGCACAATAATTGGTTTAATAAGCAAATTATAAAATTAAGCTTATAAATAAGAAACGGATAAATACTATTTTAGATGAGTAGATTATCAATGTGATTATGAAGCATTAGCATTTAGGGTTGGTAATAAGCTAAGGATTATAATTCATATATGCGCAAAACTATGTTGCTGAATAAGGATTAATTCTATCAAATGCGTGTCATAAAATTCCATATTCGCTACAATCCATTATAAATGAATACAATTAAGCCAATAATATCTTTATAGTACCTTTGTCGATTAGCTTGAACAACTCTATTTGAATATGCTTGCGTTGAGATGAGTATATCGTTTACATATGAAACAGGAGAATTCTGACAAAAAAGTAAAAATGTGAATATACCATAGAAATCCATGCAAAGATTGGCGTTGAGTCACCTACAGTTATCAATTGATGATAGTGTGGATGATTTCTGTCATAAGAACTGAAATACTAAGGAAAATTGCTATAAAATTAAGATTACCGATATTTCGGTCAATTTGTGGGAGAGAGGTTGCACTAATTTAATCATATGATCAACAGAAGGAGTCGAATAGGTCTGACTCATTGTTATGATACTTTTCAGATGTTCATAAGCCTCATTAACCAAAATGGACTTAAAAGTAAAAAAAAATAATTAAGATACCTGCTGTTTTAAATCCCCCCCTACGAGTGAACTTTGTTTCAAAAAGGCCGTAAAACAGCAATCAACGTCAGTCTCAAGTGAATTCAAAATAGGTTGACCTGTTTACTAAGAAATAAAGGTGTTACCAAAATTATGTAATCCAGGCAGGAGTAGTTCTAGCCGAGTGACTACAGTGTCTAGCCTTTTCAATAACTCGCCGCAACCATTCATCGAAAGTTGATCTATCGACCGTCTTAATATAATACTAGAATCTTCATTAGCCAATAAGTTAATTTTAGAGGCATCAACTTCCTCTGCATTGGTGAATAGGCCACAGCCAGTCGTGGTGACAGATACCGTTTCTCCATTGCAGTTAACGAAATGACTAGCAGTTGATATGGACACTGTTTCTCTGACACTTCCATCAAGCCCACTATTCTTAGTACAAGAGTTGTTTTCTGTGATCTTAGCAGAAGCAGCAACATCGTCAAAACTTGGTGTCAGGCTATAAATGCGCTGAACTGAGGATCCCTTATATTTTTTTCTGGATGTGGAGAAAAATTCGCGTGGACTACGAAAAGATAAGCATGTAAAAAATCTAGGCCTTGAAAATAGAAAAATATTATAGTATTACATTTTGGAGGTTTAACACAGTAGCATAAGCAAGAAAAATTCTGTCCAACCAAAAAGGCCCCCACGTACATAAGCGGTATGAGGAATCATTCAAAGCATCATATACTTTTATTTTTATTTTGATAAAAGAATTTACGAAACTACGTTCAAGACACAAGAGATAAATAACAGAAAAAAAGCAATCGAGAGTTATAATTACTTGCATAATTACCAGTTCTGGGTTAAATGGCCTCCGGCGAATAGTGATGGGGTATTGTAAATCGTATTGTAAGTATTGATCAATTACTATTGAGGGCAGATAAAAGAAACAGTGGTAGTTATAGCTGTGATTGACTATTTAGAAGGAATTTTAAAGTCATTAGAAGGTGAAGAATCACATAAGGCTATAATAATAAATATGATAGAAGACTTCAAAGCTAA